TCTCCTCGAAGTCCAACGCCGTGGCCACGTGGAAGACGCCGCTGCAGCCGCCACCGTCGGATCTGCCCAGCCCATCGTCACTGCTTCTTGATTGCCGCTGCTTCTTGGGTAGGGTTTGTAAAAAGGGAGATATTTTGTCAGTCTCAATCTGCGCGAGATTTCTATAAAAGGAAGAAAGAAGTCAAAAGCAAATCAGATTTTTCGGGTAAAAGAAATATGAGGGAAGAGCACGTTCTTCTTCTTCCCCGAGCGAGGTAACGTACGCGTAAAATGAGGGAAGTGACCCAGACTGTGACCCATTTATTAACAATAAATAAATTTAATGGCAAAACTGTAATAAATGGATAAGATGAAGGATAATTTTGTCAAAAAAAGGACACGTGTCAGTCCGAGAATTGTCCCCCATTGTTTGCTTATATGTATAGTAGATATATATATATATATATATATATATATATATATATATGGATTGGTTCCGATGAGCTCACATTCTTAAAGTGAGGACATGAGACTCAATCCCAGCCACTAAGAGGGTATCAAGATGTGGCCAAGATTTAACTATTTATTTAAATAATAATTTCTTTATTTTAATTATTTTACTTATTTAAATACTATTTTGACCATTGACCGTTGATTGTTGACTCCGACATTGACCGTTGACTTCCGGCGTTAAATTCAGGCAAAAATCGTTAACTTTCGACATTGACCGTTGACTTCCATCATTGATCGTTGACTTCTTGCTTTGACTCCGACATTGATCGTTGACCTCTAGTATGCATTATGTAATCCCTTGTAACTAATGATAAAAAACTTTGCAACTAGATACAACTAACCTTGGTAATAAATATATCTAACCTTGCAACTAAATATATCTAACCTTGCAACTACTGATAACTAACTTTGCAACTAGATACAACTAATATTGCAACTACAGAGAACTAACCTTGCAACTACAAACAACTAACCTTGCAACTAAAACACAAATAACCTTGCAAAAACAGATAATTAAACTTGCAACTACAGACAACTAACATTGCAACTGCATATAACTTAACTTGCAACTAAATTCAACTAAACTTGCAACTGCAAACAGTTAACCTTACAACTAGATACAACTAACCCTGCAACTACAGACAACTAATCTTGCAACTACAAAAAACTAACCTAGCAACTACATACAACTAACTTTGCAACTACTAACCTTGCAACTAGACATAACTAACCTTGCAACTAGACATAACTAACCTTGCAACTAAATAGAACTAAACTTGCAACTACATACAACTGACCTAGCAATTACAGACAACTAAATTAGCAACTACAGACAATTAACATAGCACCAAAAAACAACTAACCTTGCAACTACAGAAAAAATAACATTGCGACTACATACAATTAAACCTGCAAAGTTAGTGTAAAAATGGCATAGTTAGTGATAAAGTGTTGCACAGCTAGTGTCAAAATATTGCATGGTTATTGAAACAATAATGCAAAAACTTTGTTCCATAGTTAGTGATAAAGTGTCGCACAGTTAGTGTAAAAATGTTGCATGGTTATTGAAACAATGATGCAAAACATTGTGCACGAGAGACATATTTATTGTAACAACGCAGATACATATTTATTTCAACACAGGTGCATAAGTATTCCAATTACTTAATCTGAGCCACTGGTCAACACAAAATCAATGATAAAGCGGTGTCCTTATTTTAAGAGTTGTCCTCATTTTAAGAGCTGTCCTCATTTGACTCTTTATTTAAATAATAATGAATTGGCCAAGATTTAACTTTTTATTTAAATAGTAATTTTTTTTTATTTTAATTATTTTAGTTATTTAAATACTATTTTGACCATTGACCGTTGATTGTTGACTCCAGCGTTAACTTCCGGCAAAAATCGTTGACTTTCGGCATTGACCGTTGACTTCCATCATGATCGTTGACTTCCGGCTTTGACTCCGACGTTGATCGTAGACCCCTAGTATGCATTATGTAATCTCTTGCAACTCATGATAAATAACTTTGTAACTAGATACAGCTAACACTAGTACTAAATATATAACCTTGCAACTAAATATATCTAACCTTGCAACTACTGATAAGTAACTTTGCAACTAGATACAACTAATATTGCAACTACAGAGAACTAACCTTGCAACTACAGACAACTAACCTTGCAACTAAAACACAAATAACCTTGCAAAAACAGATAATTAGACTTGCAACTACAGACAACTAACATTGCAACTGCAAATAACTAAACTTGCAACTAAATTCAACTAAACTTGCAACTGCAAATAGTTAACCTCACAACTAGATACAACTAATCCTGCAACTACAGACAACTAATCTTGCAACTACAGACAACTAACCTAGCAACTCCAGACAACTAACTTTGCAACTACTAACCTTGCAACTAGACATAACTAACCTTGCAATTAGACATAACAACCTTCCAAATAGATAGAACTAAGCTTGCAACTACAGACAATAACCTAGCAATTACAGACAACTAAATTAGCAACTACAGAAAATAAACATAACACTAACAAACAACTAACCTTGCAACTACAGAAAAAAATAACATTGCGACTACATACAATTAAACCTGCAAAGTTAGTGTAAAAATGATGCATAGTTAGCGATAAAAACAGTTAGTGTAAAAATATTGCATGGTTATTGAAACAATAATGCAAAAACTTTTTTTCATAGTTAGTGATAAAGTGTCGCACAGTTAGTATAAACATGTTGCATGGTTATTGAAACAATGATGCGAAAACACTGTACACGAGAGACATATTTATTGTAACAAACCATATACATATTTATTTCAACACAGGTGCATAAGTATTCCAATTACTTAATCTGAGCCATTGATCAACACAAAACCAATGGTTAAGAGGTGTCCTTATTTTATGAGTTGTCCTCATTTTAAGAGTTGCCCTCATTTGATCCGCCCTATATATATATATATATATATATATATGGATTGATTCCAATGAGGACACATTCTTAAAATGAGGACATGAGACTCAATCCTACCCACTAAAAGGGTATCAAGATGTGCGGCCAAGATTTAATTCTTTATTTAAATAATAATTTTTTATTTTAATTGTTTTAGTTATTGAAATATTATTTTGACCATTGACCGTTGCCTCCAGCGTTGATCGTTGACTTTAGATGTTGACTTCTGGTGAAAATCATTGACTTCCGGCGTTGACCCGTTGACCCTAGATATAACAAACCTTGCACCAGCAGAGAAGTAACCTTGCAACTATCATTGCAATTAGATATATATAACTAACTTTGCAACTATAGAAAACTAACTTTGCAAATATATATAACTAACCTAGCAACTACAGAGAACTAACCTTGCAACAAAATACACCTAACCTTGCAACTAAATTCAACTAACTTTACAAAGAAAGACACATATCCTTGCAACAACATAGAACTAACCTTGCAACTACTAATAACTAACATTGCAACTAGATACAAATAACCTTGCAACTATGTACAACTAACCTAGCAACTACATAAAACTAACCTAACAACAACAGAAAAACAACCTAGCAACAACTAAAAACTAACCCTGCAACAAGATAAAAAGTGTTGCAATGTTAGTGTAAAAATGATGCATAGTTAGTGATAAAGTATTGCATAGTTAGTGTAAAAATGTTGCATGGTTATTGAAACACTGATGTAAAAAATATGTTGCATAGTTAGCAATAAAGTGTTGCAAAGTTAGTGTAAAAATGATGCATAGTTAGTGATAAAGTGTTGCACAATTAGTGCCAAAATATTGCATGGTTATTGAAACAATAATTCAAAAAACGATGTTGCATAGTTAGTGATAAAGTGTCGCACAGTTAGTGCAAAAATGTTGCAT